CTGTCTTCATTCTGATTCTGGTCAAAGCTGTCATTTAGATATACGTTGAGCATTATCAAATTTATTTTTATTAAGAGTTGATATTTATAACCTTCACATTTTTTGGATAATACTTAAATATGGATGGATTATAATAATTTCTCGAAATTTAACTAAATGAATTCCAGAGGCCCATCACTTACACCAGAAACTCATATTAAATTGTTTGGATTGCATTTTTCAGAAGTCGCTGATTGAAAGCCTAATGCAGAGTCATTTGTTGTGTCTTTATGTTTTACATGATGCAATTTAGCCTATGTTTAAATAAAATTATATATCATTATAAGAAACACGAAGAATAAAAACTACAGTGAGAAAACAGAATAAACGGGAAGTATATTCGGAGTATGAAATTCAAATCTTAAAGCAGGCAAAAACATAATTAAAGTATTTCATAACATTATTGTTTTTTGTTTTTAATAAAAATAAAGTTCGAGTTTGTTACGACTCGGAAAAATTCTCTAAATACTGTTGATGGCGCTGCTCTTCAGTAAAACCTAATCACATGTGACGTCATAATTCTCACGATACTTCATTGTAGGCGTTGTAGACGGCATATTTACGCCAGGCTCGGAAGACAGCGGCATAAAGATATTTTCTCCAGAAATTACCGTATTGCCTTTCGTCAGAGGTTTGAGGATTGCTTCACCTTGTCTGAACATAGAAGAAATTAAAAGATTTTAAATACGCATACTTTTCCTCAATGGCTCACCGTAATCTCAAGTGTTCCCGAAGATGGTATGTCTCAGTATTTCTTTTTCTTTTTCCCATCATGAATCCGGTATCGACAGTCACCCATTATTCGGTTCCCGAAGAAATGGACGAAGGTTCTCTTGTTGCGAATTTAGCAACAGATTTGGGATTAGATACAAGAAGTCTGAGTAACAGAAAAATCCGCGTTGACGTTGTAGGCAATAAAAAATATCTTGACATCAAAAAAGACACAGGAGAGCTCTTTATTCTGGAAAGGATAGACAGAGAGTTTTTATGTCCGCTAAAGACCGCCACGTCTTGCTTTCTTAAATTAGACGCTTCCGTTGAGAATCCAGTGCGAATGTTTAACATTGAAGTGGAAATCGTGGACATTAATGACAACGCTCCACATTTTCGAAGGGGGACGATGCATTTGGACATTTCTGAATCGAGTCC